GAACCGGGTGCTAGTTCAGAGCCAGTGCTATTGCTGGTTCGGAGTTGGTTCGACTGGCGAGCCTTCTAAGAACCGGTTTACCTTTCCACTGGCTAGAGAGCCACCACAGAGCCAGGTCTTACGGCATCTAAATATGTCTCATTTCCCATAGCAAAGGTAGCGCGGCAGCGCCAAACACAACGGGCTTGTTCAGGATGCATCGGCGCCGGGTGGACCGATCGGCACGCGATACCGAAGCGCCGCGGGAACGATCAAAAGCATAAAGAGCCATCTGCCTTCCAGTCGCTCCCGCGGCGCACCGGTGCCACGCACCGACCGGACCATCTGAACAAGCCTAAACACCATCAACAATGGTGGACGTTGCGTTGCTATTGATGTTCCTGGCTTTAAGAACCTACATCGGCATCCAAACACAGCGAATCCAACGTGTTCGTGTTTAGCTGTTATTTCAAATATGGCTGTTAAAAGTATTTTGTTGGTCACGGTAACCCCGCCCCCAGTCCCTGACACAGTTCTTACTTCTAGCCCAGCAATGTTTTGGTGCTACTTATGAACCACTTTTCCTGGTTCGGAGCTGGTGCTTTGGGTGTCAAAAGACAAAGAACCGATTTGAAACTAGGCTCTAGCTCCGAACCAGCACCCAAACTGCGTTGGTGGAAAAGGGGTAAAAAGAGATCACATTGGTCAAGACCTCTGTCTCGGCCTGCAAGCAAATCATTCATGCTTAAATAACTTACTACTGCTCAGTCATGACTGAATATGACACCACCAGCAGATAAAACGAGAGCATTTCAGTTTGATCATGTACCAGGTCTTTTATGATCATTCAAATAATGGAGGAAAACTATTAAAAGGGCTCTATTGGACCAGCTGACAGAGCATCACGTCCAAATATATAATCTATTCGGTGAAAGCACATCAAGACCAATCCCCTTATCAGCAATGTCAAAAATTCGAAAAGCAATCTATACTAACAAATTGTTTGTTTTCATGTTCACCACATCGCATCATTGTATTTCCCATTAATGTAAAAGCCTCCACATGCATAGTATCACGGAGGATTCCAGTTTTAATCAATATAATCAATTTGTCCAAGGTATTTAACATTCAGGCACTAAATAAGGAACAGCTGCAGGTAGTATTATGAAGTGTCTGGCTCACCGCAGTGAAAATACCAGTCTTTTTTTTTCTGGTGAATCGTTAAATCAATTTAATCAGTTGGATGTGCAAAAGTTGGATGTGATCTCTTTTTTTTTTTTTTGAGACAGGTTGTGAATTTTCCCAAAATACACTGGCACACGATTCCTTACACATGCAGGCCACGACTTGTGCAGAGTCTTTGGTATTCAAACAGCAGGTTTAACGCTTGGTATTTGTTTGTCTAATCAACTCTCAGCCAAACACACAAATCTCTGCATTACAATAAAAATGTTCAATATGTTATCCACCATAAACCTTCACACTCTGTTGTTTATGTGCAAAAACAGAATCAAACAAATGGAGTATTAAGAATTACCTGTATAGCTAATAAGACTTTAGCAGCAGTGCTAGTGCTGCACACTTTGCTCCCTCTCAAGGACAAAAAAGCCATAGCCTATTACCATCATCCACCATTGCTTCTGGTTCCTTCCAGGTAAGGGGGTTTAATGTGCAAACTGATCTCTAACCAGATTTCATGCTGACTTGCTAGAGGGTAAATTGAGTCAACAGGTCCACCTTTGTGTCTGTCTGTGACCCTATTACATTTGGAGAATTTATTTGACCAAACGCTTATGAATCACTACCCCCTTTTCTGCCCAAAGCATCAACCCTCTGATTTAATTAGCTTTTACTCCTGCACCTCTGTGATTTAACCTTGCCTAGTGGGTATTTTTATTGGAGACACATCACACTTTGAGATGAATAAAATATATGCCTACATACTGTATATAAACTCTGGGTATCTACCTATGAGGGTGCTTGAGTGAGGAAGAAGAGAGAATAAACATATTTGGTGACTGATTATCCTTTAAAATAATAGCGACTTGGTTTTTATGGCATTACAATATTCAGTTCTTGTTGTAGCTTTAAATATCTTCCCATGCTAATGTTGAATAAAATTAGCACACTTCGGCCGAATACTGTACCTATAAGAATTTCTATCAGACAGTCTTACAAGAAGAAAATAATCGTATTGCGAATAAAGCAGAGATTAGCTCTCTTTAGAGATTTGCACATACCTTCATATTGATAGTAGACCATCAAAAGACTCGGCTAATAACGCACTTAAGTAAGAAAAATCTAGTCATTGTTCCCATGTTTATTTTTGGGTGTGACTGAAAATACAAAAAGTTATTTCCATTTCAACTGATGACAATGATGACATAATGTAACTAGGAGTTATTGAATGAATCAATGAATGTTTAATAAACTATTGCTCCACACTTTATGAATGAAGTGTGCAGTGATAATCATAAAACTGTTTTTCACTTGGCTCTTGGTCAGTCGTGCCACCCAGATGTATGATATTAGATGTATGAGATTTTTTCATAGCAGAAACGTTAAGGAAATATACAGGAAATAAATAATATTATTTCAATTTAAATAAATATCGTCACCACTTTTTCACAGTATGTAAACTCACAGGACATGACAAGTAATTCTCAAAATGTAAGTTTTGTAATGTCTGTCACCTTTATGAGGTGTGTGATATATAAGACTGCTTGTTGATAGTAAGGGCTTGTTTAAATGCAGACAGGCCTTGAGGGGGTGGTGCAGGGTTCCTCCATTTGAACAGGATGTGGGCTGAAGGAGGATAGAGTCCAGAAGATAGTGATAGATGAAGTATGAGATAAGAAGTGTTATATTCTTTCTCCATCACAAAGCCATGGCCAAAACCAAAGATGATTTCAGCTCATTCATTCCACATGTGAAGGCATACTTCCTCTTTAGACTGGCAGCACTGAAAGAATATGCAATATATGATAGAGTAACTGTGTAAAGATTTTGAAGATTTTGTTTGTAAAGGTCAAGGGAAAGGGATGTGATACATTTATGACATTGTTGATCAGGGAAGTTGATAACACAAAGTAGCTGAGTAATTCAGATAGACTTTCTTTAAAATTAGGACTCGGAATTAAGAAAGAGGAACTTTAAGCAGATTGCATAAATGCTTTTCAGGTAACATATGGCACTATATTACATTTCAGCCGTTTTATTCCATGGTTAGTAAGATTTTATGGCAGTTCTGTGACTCATCCAAACGAAACACAACAAAACACCAGGATACCATTTCACAAGAGTTAAAAGCACATTCAACAAACACCAGGATGCTATTACACAAAAGTTAAAGGGGTCATATGATGCTGCTAAAAAGAACATTATTTTGTGTATTTGGTGTAATGAAATGTGTTTATGCAGTTTAAAGTAAAAAAAAAACATTATTTTCCACATACTATACATTATTGTTTCTCCTCTATGCCCCGCCTTTTTGAAACGCGTCGATTTTTACAAAGCTCATCGGTCTGAAAAAGTGAGGTGTGCTGTGATTGGCCAGCTATCCAATGTGTTGTGATTGGCCGAATACCTCAAGCATGAGACGGAAATGTTGGGCTGGATTCCGCTTCGTCCACGGTGAAAGTTGATGTATTCCCTCAGCGACCAGCACAGATCAGCTCTAGGCATTTCGCTTTCACAACGAAGCACACAGCGTCTTCACGTCATGGCTGCAGCATCAACAAAACTACAGCGAGAATAAAAGTTACGCCTTCTTTCTTTGCGTGAACATTTGGGCGGCGTTATGCAAATCTTCCCACATAGTGAGGTAGATATGTGGGGGCGTGTTAGAACGAGCCGTTTTAGGTAGGTGTGGCTGACTCAACTTTTATAAAGAATATCTCTTTGGATTTGAGACTTTAGTCTTTGCAACTTTACAGATCTTCTTTATGCACCAAGAGCTTTTAACACTCCAAAGAGAGAGGAAAACTTGAAATCGCATCATATGACCCCTTTAAATGAACCAATGATGTTTTTGCTTCTTTCATGTCTATATATATTTGTTTTCACAGATCTTTGGCCAGCCAGTATTATGCTGGAGTGTAAGTCATTTAATGCATGGTAAGTGAATTGTCTGTTTCACACCTTTCATTTTAGCCACTTAATATCAATAGATAAATAACAAAAATGGAGCACAGATTTTGCAAAAATTGTTGACTTTTGTCTTTTTCCAGTTGCCTGTATATATTCTTTGCTTGCAATATTATAGTAATGATGAAAGGTGCAATTTCGCGTGCTGGTACAGCACGACATAAAATCAATGCATCTCTGGTTTGATTTGAAGTAATGTAGTATGTATATAGTATTTTGACAGATCTGAGAGTATGTGAGGGCTGATAAGTTAAGAGGAATATCAGTTCTTTAGGACATGTGTACCATTTAACATACATTTTCCTTGGGACTGTTTTTCACAATGTTAGTCACTTCTCTAGTTCTTCTGGCAGGTTCTTTTGTGAGGTTCTACTGTGGGTTGGCTAATCTATATTAGACTTTCTCCATTATACTTTCAAAATGATTGATTTCATGCTGCAAGCACATATGCATTTGCATATCGGCTTTGTTTGACTCTACAGTTCTCCATAAATGAAAGAAATCCCTATGAAAGCATTCACATTTATTAAAAATTCCCGATGCACTTCCAACAGTCAGTTACAGTGGTGATTATAAGAAGGCAAGAGCTCTCATATTTGTATTTGTGTGTTACTTTGCATTATTGTCTTACTTGACATGTCACAATATTACATAACGTTCCGTTTAACTACAGTAGATAATTTAAGAGATCAGAAGCAGTTTAATGGGAAAGGAGTAGAAGAAATCAGAAGCTGTGATATAGATGGCAAAAAAGAGCATGGGTGACAGTTTACAAGATTAGAGAACAATATCTGTGCCCTAAACGAAAAGAGCTGTGCGGACAGGTTAAGACAGAGAATGAGTCACTTATGGCTGTTATTCAGGGCTGTGCTGCTGTTACTATAGACTACACACACTCACACACACACACACCTATACTTTGGAAGTGCGCGTTTAGGACGTGGATCGACAGTCCAACTCGCGCGTCATGTGTCTACGTGGTTCATGCAAAACGCCTGTTGTGAATGGATTCGCATCATCCCAGGGTCGTTTATGAATGAAGTGTTTTTCGTATAAGGGAGAAACAAGGACAGGTTTGGCGGCGAAGCACTGCTGGTGAACCCGCGCGCACCGGAGCGCATAGTTGACTGACGTTTTTTTTGTCAGTTACTTTTCGGCCGTCAACTTGTCTCTGTGCCTCGGTCCTTTTGCGAAGCGCTCTCAGGAAACTGCTGAATCGGCTGAAATGGATATGTCTAAACGAATGCTGATTTTATGCCTAACCTGCTCGTTAGGACCTGTGAGTAGCCTATCAACACAGTTTTCCATGTAATTAGTCATCGACTAAAGAAAAGCTCTCAAGTAGGCTATTTAACACACCTAGTCCTCAAACAAATGGTCAGGTCCATGGATATAAAGATGTTTTTTTTTTTTTCATTTTTCTTAATTTCATTGAAAATTTGTTGCTTTTCAATTCTGAAGCCACGTTAGGTTGTGCTGACAAAATAACAGACTTGGATAAACTGTTGCTCTTTTGCTGTTCTGTCTCAGAGCTACTGCTGCTGCTGTTTTCTTTCATAGAGCAGAATTTGGTAACGGAACCGATTTAAACTACATTTCATGAGACTGAAGTATTTCATTGGCTTGTGCTTAGCTAGCTTGGGTAAGAACGCAATCGATGTAAACTCTCCAGCATTATCCGTCAGAAATGGATCACATTTAAGATTAAAAACTAGACAGGACATAATTATGTGGATTGGAGAGCTTCTCTTATGCACTGGAATGTTCTCTGACATTTTGATAAAACATAGCCTATTCAGCGGTATTAATAAAGCGTATTTATACATTTAAATAATAACCAGTTAGAGTATGTGCCTTTGAGGAGATGATAGGCTATAATGCAAGCAAGTTTCAGTGGTCGGTGCATTTTGCTTGAAACAGTTTGAATTGCCATTTAAGGTCCAGATAAAAAAAAAAAAAGCATCTTCTGTGAACAGCATTTCCATCAAAATGAGTATAGAGTTGTTATTGAATTAATTCAAATTTCCTTAGCTCTAGCCAGATGTCAATCTTATATACTTATTTAGGATTTCAAAACATTTTCAAATGTGCCAAAATGTTAAAATGATGCTTTACCTTACATTTTCATCATTATATTCATGATGCATCTCACATAAAATTTTGTAAAATGTGTGTTGCTAATATTAGAAATCTGGTCATTCCTGCAGGTTAACCTGGGAAATCAGTCAGTATAAATCCTTCAGGTTTAGTGCTCCCGACTGATAATGCTAGTAAACAGCATGCATTCACAGTACCAGTGTTACCATGGAAAGATTCCTCTGTACTCAAATGTTTGTTTACCATCTAAACTGGTTGTCATATTGTTAATCATGCTATTTGAAATAGTGAAAAGAATGATTTTCTTCACTTACTGTGACGCCATGGTAACAACCCTCATTTTCTTCTCTGTTCATCCCTGTGTCCATGTCAGCACTGTCCTTGATCACCGCTCCTTCCTCACTGCACAGTAGTGACTCATGTCTCTATAAAGTACAGCTTGCCATGCAACTGAATTTACTTCTGAATATGTCACCCCACGCAGTACAGTATATGATCAAAAGAATGCTATTGTTTGCTCTGGGCACATAATATAGAGAACTTGTGCTTTTAGCTGACATAACGTACAACACTGCACTTGAGCTAAAAGATAAAATGAATGGCACATAATTCAAAATGTTTGAAGATCGGTGCAGTACATCTGTCAGTACGTAGAAAGATTTAGATTGTGTTTTGTTTAGAAGTGATTTTAATAATATTGATCATGATAACAGATGTATGGTGGCCGAGAGAGCTCAACGCGCTGCAACTTAAGAAAACACATACAGCTGCAGAGAGACAGCTTTAAGACAAATAATTTATGTTGTGAATTTTTCCACCTTATAGATGTCCGGAGGTTAGTCCTTTAGGGATTGACAGAGGTGAAAGGAGACATTATTAAGAGCTCTGTACAGTGCAGGTACTTATGCTACGCTTGTTAAATTTCGAAGGAACAACATGAATTGTCCTACCCTTCATCAAATCCCCATGACACTCAGGAAAATGGAGAGGCAATGTCACATGTGCAACCAGTTCACTTCGTTCTCTTTAAAAAGTAATTATGTTTAGCTTGTAATGTGATCAAAGGTCTGTTGCTATTCAGAAATGTGATGTAATGTTCTCTGAAACTTCAAAAATGAAGATATGTTTTATTGCAAGTAAAACTTACCTCTTGTCAGAATCTTGTGATTGTGTTATTGATTTAAACAGATGCTGTCTGTCCAGATGTGTGAGGTCATGTGGGAGCTGGAAGCGGAGAAAAGAGAATGTTTGTCCAAGCTGGAAAACATCACATCAGGTATGTACAGTGTATATAAGTCACTATATGACAACTGTAATGTATGCATATAAAGACACAATGATTTCTGTATATTGGTGATATACACTGTAAAAATATCCTGTTAAACACATGGTAAAAAAGCAACAGCTGTGGTTGCCAGATATTCACTATGAAAATATAGTGGCATTGTTTCAGGTATTGCAGCATGACATATTGGTGTCTGTATATTTTACAACCATACGTTTCATTTCAAGGCATATGATGTTAATATACCAAGATCTGCTTTTTACCAAAAACGTTGGATACGCAAAGATTATGAATAGGAGAAAGTGCAATGTGCAATATGGCAGAAAGTCTCGTCATCTAAATAAAAGAGCAAGTCGCTAATTGGTGAAGTGTTCATATCATTGCAGCAGCCATAGTTTGCATGGTGCCTAAACATGCTACTGAAGGAGCTGTATTTGCATGACTGAAATAGCTGCCCGAGAGGCATTTCAAAGATGGCCGCTGAGTGAAATGTCTTGCCTGAAGGGACTTTGTTTTTCCTTAATATGCACTGATAACCACAATAATAATACAGGTGGTATAATAGAAAGCCACATGATGAATTAGAGTTAATTGTAAGTCAGCTATCCATAAAACATGGCCAGTACTTGTATGTAGACTGTGCACAGAGTCATACATACAAAGACCAAAAAAAAATTTCATAATGCACATGAAATTCAAATAATGTAACAAACTTTAACTAAATAACAGAAATGCAACCCAAAATGCACATCACTAACAGATCTTTTTAAAATCTGTCTTTTTACAGTTTCTCACCATAAATTATATGTTTACTTCGCGGCTATAATCATAAATAATTTGACAGTTTTTGTTTTACGTTAAAACATGTACAGTTTTTCACTTTATGTGGTAAAGTAACTTACACTTAACCAATTAACATTTTTACAAGTAAGTTCTGTGGTTTTAATGCTAAAGGTCTTGGTTTTAAATGTGGTCTCTTCATCAGCTAAAAATAGCAGCACAGGAGTACTGTAAACATAGAGCAGCGTAAAAATGTGGATTATGAGGTTGGGCTAATACTGCAAGAGCAACATTTTGAGTGTTTTAAGATCTGATTAAATGTGCAAAAATATATAGCTGCTTATCTGCATATCTGCAAAAGTGTCAATATTTTTCCCTTATTTCTTCCCACAGGCTGCAGTCAGCTCAAACCTCTCTTCTCATTACTGTAGATACTGTGAATTGGGCAGATAATTGTTGTTTTGTGTTTGTTTGTCTGATCAGGTTTCGGAAGAGGTTACAAAGGCATGCTGGTTAATTAGGCAGAAATGTCATTCTGTGAAGTGCGAGCTTCACAACATCAGTGTTTTTACTGTCGTTATCTGTATGATTAAATCAGTAGTGTTTCAGTGCACTGCCTCAGTTTTGCTTGCGGCAAGTAGATTCAGGTTTTTTCATCAGCCTACCCACAGAATTCAGTTCAGTTCAGATTCGCACACTGTCACAATGCTTAAGTCTTGTAGAGCCATTTCCAACTAATGATGCTTATTTAAAAAATAACTGAAATAATATAAATAGCTTTTTTCACTTCAATATTATGATTCTGCTGTGATAACGAAAAACATGAAAAGGAGGTCAACAATGATATCAGTTTTATCTTGACTTCTCATTACTGGCAGGGCAGACACAAAAAAATATGAGTTATGATAACACACATTTAATTGCAAATTCTAATAACGCAGCCCATATTGGGGCACCTTAATTACTGGAATCATTCACAGGGATTTGTGTGTGTGAAAAAAGCTAGAATGAGCAAATTATAAGTGGACTTTAAGAGCTTCAGTGTCTGCCTATTGGCAGGGCCGTAGCTGGGGTTTGCGGGGTCTCAGTGCAGGTTGTACCAGTGGGCCCTGTTTGAAATGGTTTAATTTGTATGTTCGTTCTATTTATTTATTTGTGCTATTTACACAATGTTTAAGTTTTTCAAGTTTGTAGGTGTCCAGGTACAGAAACTGAATAATCAAATGTAAAATAGCACTGCATAGTCTTCACTGTAAAAATTAAATATATAGTCAAATAAAAATTTATTCAGACACCTTCAACATTTCTCACATTATCACAGTTTATTTGCTATAGTTTAGAAAATGGTAATAAAATATGACAAGAACTCAGAGTTAAACTGTGTCAGAACAAATTAATCTTGATGTCAGATAACTGTGATAGAAAGGTATGTAATGGATTACAATCAACCAAAAATTCAGACATCTGTTAGTATAACTATATGTGCACAACAATTAATACTTGTTGACCAATTACCAAGCAATGCTTAATTGTGTTAAGTCTGTGGTGTAAAAAGTTCACATTAGCAATTAAAGAAAAAACACTTAGGCAAAACATGGTTAGGTCAAAGTGTCTGAATAATTTTTGGTCCCAAATTTTGATAAATTTTACTGGTAGTCCACTGAATGAAGAATTTTTGGGTATAATATGTCACAGTTTACTTTATTTTGCTATCCTCACTTACATAAAT